CCTCCAATGGGGCAAAGTACTCACACGGAACAGCGGCTACTCGCCAAGCGGCATCACAGCCGTAAAATCGATACACACGGCTGGCGATCGAAGCTTTGCCTCGCCAGATTTCGTAAAATTTGAGGCAAAACCCGAACAGATGCCGACGCGTTACGTTTCCTCCTTCACACAATTTATGTGCGAACCCAATTCCAACGGGATTTCTATGCTCAGGTCGTGTCGGGTTTCACTTTGAAATTTGTTGCAGAATAGCCCAAGAACGACCTTCTTTTAATCTTGGCATGGAATTTTGATGCTTATAATTTTTTGAACCTACCCAAAATTACAGTGGCTTTTATAAGGCTTACGTTCGGCCTCTTCGCCTTCGCCAGAACCTGATATCATGCGCCTCGGCGACACAGATCTAGGTACCTCCTTTCAAAAACAGAAGAGCGTCGGGTGCAGACCATACACCACAAGTGACGACGGCCTCCACAAAATGTAAATGTTTTCTGCCAATGAAATGATTAGCCTGTTGCAGTTGTATTCTATCAGTTGTCACTAATTACAACTATCATTTACCAAAAATCAGCTATCACTATGAACCACTACTAACCAGATTTACTTGGAGGCCGTCGTCACTTGTGGTGTATGGTCTGCACCCGACGCTCTTCTCGTTTTTTGAAAGGAAGTATAAGCCTTGTAGCACTCTTGGATCAATCGATACCGGCTGTTGGTTTAGTATTCTGGAGAAATTGTCTTCAGGATTGTTGGCCCATGAAAGGATCGGTCTCAATTGCTTTTCGACTTTTCAGGCTCTGACGAAGGCGAAGAGGCCGAAACGTAAGCCTAATAAAGGCTACTGTAAACCTGGACAGGCTCCAGCAAAACCCTACACATTCAAAAACCGGTTTTTCAGATTATTTTAGCTGTACTAAAAATAGGTGTATTATAAGTTCTCGTATATTCATGGTATGCCATCTTTATCCGTGACTCCATGGCAACGCAGATTGATTCCTTCTAGCAAAAAATCTTGGAGCTGGGCGAAGATGATTTGGGGTTCGTGCCTGTTGCAATTTTCTTCTTTTCACACCTATACGGGGGAGGGGGAGCGGTCAGGATCTTCCGTTCTCAGTTACTGACCCATGGTATAGATAGGATCAATGCTACCAATTTATACCACGGGCCAGCGTCTGGATGGGACCACTCACAAACCCAACAGAGGTAGGTGTTTCTGGTTGTTTACACTGTTAGATTCGATTTACTAGTTGTTCTCGATTTTTCTAGTCACCTGGGCCCTTTCTTGGTATTTAAAGTCCTATTAAGTTTTATCTATCGTTTTTATCGGATCAAGGATTATTGTCCAGATGTCAAGCTAGACTGAGTACCTTCCTGAATTGAAACCGATGCAACATCAAAAAATAAAGGGGCATAGGGCGCTATCGCAAGATACGGGGGCATTGGGTAGTAATGGATTCGAAACAGCATAAAACAACTCCTTCTCGTTCAAATCGGGACTAAGCCTAGGCGGGACAGGAGAGGCTCCAAGGTGCGTGAGCAATTTTTACTTTCCCCCATGTTCCTGTCCCCCACTAGGCTTTGTCCAAGGGATGCCCCCGTATCTTGCGATAGCGCCGGGAATATTTATATTTGAAAACGTAGTAATAAAATCAGGAAACCACCGCTACCTATGTAGAAGCGGATGCATAGATTTGAGCAAATAGAATTCAAGTAGAAGGGAAAAGGAGTCCCAGCTGAAACTCACACCGATCTGACATCTTGCCCTCGGCAAAGGTCGGTTGATCCGTTTCGAAGGTATGATGAGCATCCATTCGTGACATTGAGCTTGTGGAAGGAGTTTGAGTCAGTTCTCAACGCGGGTAGTAGGGGCAGTGAGGGTGGCAGGAGCACGACACGTAAACAACAGCGCCGGGACCGCCCAGATCGGAACCAGTGCTGAGATAGGCGACCAAACATCCCCAAGCGCAACGCCCGTAAAGACTCATCGACCACTTTATGCGCAGTCAGCGTTTTCGCATAGGAAAAGCGTTCAAAGGAGAAAGAGTAAGACTTTTTCTCGTACAACGAGAAGGAACAACAGCTGTGGGATGAATGGAGCCGAATGGCCTCCAATGGGGCAAAGTACTCACACGGAACAGCGGCTACTCGCCAAGCGGCATCACAGCCGTAGAATCGATACACACGGCTGGCGATCGAAGCTTTGCCTCGCCAGATTTCGTAAAATTTGAGGCAAAACCCGAACAGATGCCGACGCGTTACGTTTCCTCCTTCACACAATTTATGTGCGAACCCAATTCCAACGGGATTTCTATGCTCAGGTCGTGTCGGGTTTCACTTTGAAAATTTGTTGCAGAATAGCCCAAGAACGACCTTCTTTTAATCTTGGCATGGAATTTTGATGCTTATAATTTTTTTGAACCTACCCAAAATTACAGTGGCTTTTATAAGGCTTATGTTCGGCCTCTTCGCCTTCGCCAGAACTTGATATCATGCGCCTCGGCGACACAGATCTAGGTAGCCTCCTTTCAGAAAACAAGAAGAGCGTCGGGTGCAGACCATACACCACAAGTGACGACGGCCTTAAAGTGAACCTGGTTAGTAGTGGTTCATAGTGATAGCTGATTTTTGGTAAATGATAGTTGTAATTAGTGACAACTGATAGAATACAACTGCAACAGGCTAATCATTTCATTGGCAGAAAACATTTACATTTTGGGAGGCCGTCGTCACTTGTGGTGTATGGTCTGCACCCGACGCTCTTCTCGTTTTTTAAAGAATAATATATTAAACCTGATCAGTGATACCGGCTGTCGGTTTTCGAATGTTTTTGTCTTTCTATCTGGCCTTTTTGTGTAGCTTGATGGATGTTATTATGGGTGTTTCATTGTGGACTTATGTTCTTGGACTCGGTCTGCAGTGATAAATAATTAAATTCTGAAGCAATATGTCCAGAAGTTTAGCCAGCCATGGAGGGGGGCGCGGGCGTTAAGTTGGCGGGTTGTGCGCAGGTGTTAGGGTGGCTGCGAAGGGCAAAGTTGCGAAACTCAGCTTAAGGGCTGGAGTGCCAAACGCTGGGGACAGCTCCAGCAAACCCTACACTTTCAAAACCGTTTCAGATTATTTTAGCGTTGTACTAAAAATTACGGTATATTTCATGGTAGCCATCTGGTTATCGTGGCTCCATAGGGCAACCGCAGATTGATCTGTCTAGCAAAAATCTTGGAGTGGCCATGCGAAGTGACTTTGGGCGTACAGTGCTTGGTGTTGCAAGTTTGGTTCGTTTGTCAATCCATAGGGGGGGGGGGGGGGAGGGGTGACGGAGCGTCAGGATCTTCCGGTTCGTTTTTAGTGACCCGGATGGGGTATAGATGTGAGAGTCGCAAGTGCGTGGAGCAGATACACGGGGCACGGGTCTGGGATGGGGACCAGGCGGCACGCAGCAGAAGAGTTCAGGAACGGAGGCTGGTGTGCAGGTTGTGGGTGCGATCTGGTGCGGCGGACGAGGGTGAAGAACCTTCGAAATTGGACAGCTTCTGTTCAAGATGGGAATGGCGCGGATTCGAGCTTATGGGGAAGCTTTTGGCGTGGGCTGATTGAAGATTGTCAGTTTGAAGGTAGAGAGACTCAACTGGGGGAGCGGCTCATCTCTTCCATCTGGCAATCATCGTGGAGGGGGAATTCTCTTGCACTGGACCAGGAAATGTTTTTGACTTCCCATGGAACTTTGAAAGGAGACCTATGAACATCGATAGAGTTTCGGACGCTGAGTACAAATATGGACATTAAAACTGCTACGTGAACTTTATAAGAAAGTTACGAGCATTCAAAGTTGGCAAAAAACGTTACTGAGGCGAGCTCACCTGATGAAATCACGGATGCTTTTTGTCTGGTTTCTTGTTCTATAAGGGTTAGTGGGTGCCCTGATTACGAATTTGAGACTCGTTTTGGCGCAGAGCTATGGCAACTGTCATTCCAGGTAGATTCTAATGTATAGTAAAGTTGTTGGCCAATTCAAGGCGTGTGCATAATTTTCAATGAAGTCCTCGTAGCAGTTTGGTAGTGTCCATATTTGTTACAGTTCGCGTTTTAAGACTTTATCGATGCCATCTAGGTTCTCTTCCAAGTTCATGGTAGCTCAAAGCATTTCCCTGTGACGATTCTGTGCTGGATTGAGCCTCCTGATCCTGTACCAAACAGCTGCTCGTTTAGACCTACAGACCAACAAACGCGCTACTCTCTGATTCTCATTAGGTACGGGGCGCGATCACAAAGAATTCTTGAGAAGATTACACCTTATCGATTATTTCATTGATAAGTGACTTTATGATTGTCCCGAATTTTCGTCAGACTCTCGCTGTGGCTCAATCCTTGTACAGACAACAACAACAGTAGAGGCGAAAGGAACCGGCTTTTTGCTCTTTGTTTCGAAACTTTTCATTATAATAATATTGTTGTAATAAAAACTTTTTTTATGTTAATAAATTTTAAAAGGTGTAATAAATAATGTGAGACTTCAAGTAGCTAGTCTTTTGTCCCATGGTCTTTTGCAATAAATATCTCAAGTCTCACATTGTTTATTACACATTTGGATAAACATGAGACTTTCGGACAGAACAATTCTGAAACAACAATTTTTATAAAGAGGGACAAATCTATGTGTGTATTTGTCCCTTATTATAACCCTTTAGACAGTAAATGTTTAGAGAAACGTTGAGATTAAAAATATTAAAAGATATGGAAACATCCTGGCCAAAATCCAAGAGTGGCACTGCTCTTTAATAAAAACCTGCTGAAGCGAGATTCGCCACACAAGGTTTGGAAACGAAATTGTTGTCGATACACATAAAGAGGATAAAAGGGCGGAAGTGGTGTAGTGGCAAGTGGCACGCTTACCACGCGAGCGGTCCGGGATCAAATCCTGGGTCGTGAGTCGCCCGGGCCAACCATGCCCGTGTATGTTGACGTTTAAAAAAAGGTGAAATCTTAATAATAATTTATTCATTACAGAACAAGGATCAACGTTCGAATACATTGCTATCGAACTGAGTGATCCAATTTGAGCTGCTGAACCCAGAAAAAGCAATATACAAAGGCTCAACGTAGAACATAACATTAAAGCCTCTAGCAGTTTTGTAGGTTAGTTATAGACAGAATGACTTGGAGTTATCTATATAAAGGGTTTTGTATTCCACAGTAATAATATAGTGAAAGATTAGCAATCCTCATCGTGGCAGAAATGAGATCAAGCGCTGCTACAACAACTAAATACGACGTCTAGCGGTCATGTCTTCTAGAAGCGCGGAATAAATAAAACTGTAAAATTGATATGATTGGGTATAAATGATGAAGAAAAGAGAAAGTTGGAAATTTCATCAGATGGCGACCATGGAATGATTTAAACGCGACACGGTCTACCGGAACAAGCGACAAGAAATAGAGATCTGATAAAAGAAGAAAACAAACCGCTCTAAAACAGTGACCAATACCTGAGCAGATTAACAACAGGAAACGCTGACAAAAGTAAACTGTCCCCTATTGAACAAAAATGAGGCAGAAAAGGCAATGTACCGAATAATTCAACATGAGAATATATCATAAATGAATAGATATTTCTAGTGAGCGAGAGCCGTATCAATAAAACCACGCTCTGGCGCTCGAGGCTGCTGCTCATCGTATTTTGCCGAGACAGCAGACATCGACTGGGCAATGAGGATCAATGGCTGCAATAATTTGAAATGAGCTGGGTATTTCTTTTGAAGATGCCAATCAAAAACTGACCTGATCGGCATTGTTCTTCTCAATACGAGCTTCGAATAGAGTCGAATCGCCGTCGAGAAGTGAACCACCTAACTCTCGATAGAGTAACTGATCATTGGGGGTTTGACCTGTTTGCTTGTAAAGCTGAATTTTTAGATCCTTGATTGTATCCGTAGACGACATCTGAAGAGTAGTTAGAAGTAGCCGGCGGGCAAAAAAGGGGGTCTATTCCAGTTAGGGACCATCATGATGCAGTTTTTCCAGAAAGCTAGGGTAACTCCGAGCCAGGGGGAGTGTAGCCAGTCTAGGGGTGGGGAGGGCAGTCACTTGACATGCGTGAAAAGCTGGAATGTTCGAGTTCACACTAGTTCGCCGAGAAACTGCATCATGATGCCCACCTAACTGGAATAGACCCAAAGAAGGTCACAGAAAAGCTTACTTTCACTTTGAAACATTTGTTTTTCTGCGTTCGCCTCGTTGTTTTTGATAGTGGAGCACTTAAGGCGCCATCCTCACTCTAAATGTATTCAGAGAAATGAAGGAGAATGCCGTCGCCGATGAAGTGTTAACTTACCAACGCGACGTAGATGAACGCGTCATCATATACGTAACGCTTGAATGTTGAGAGCTTCGAGTCGCTCACCAAAGCACCCTTCACACATGTTCTCTATCCGCCCTAAAAAAAAACTATTTATTTATTTATAAACTCTACGATTGAAAAATAACCTGACCTTGCTCCAAGATGGTGATTGGTCGCGGAGGTTCTGCGCCGTTGGTTCCCAGTCCTACAGAAATTTCCTCACAAAGCTTGGTCCACTCCTGTTCCGTGAGGGCTACGATGTGGACATTAGTGAAGTCACAAGCCAATCCCACATTGGGTAACCCATGAGAACACATAACGCACTCCTGGCAAATCGATGGAAGCACAAGAGATGACGTCCGAGCCCTGAAATAATGAGTTACTGACCGACATGAAGACATATCTCACGGATCAGACCGTCAGGAGAATGCACACCCGAACCTTATCGTGGCATTCAGTTTGAGATAGAAAATCGGCTACAGATTTTCTACCGAGTAGAATCCTTTCCGTATTCTCCTCGTAGGAACGCGTCTGTCAAATTCCTTCGCAGAAGCTCACCAAATACGCCCTCGAAGTTATTACGGTAACGATTCTTTCAGTTCTTGTTTGCCCCATTGCTGCTCCTGGAATCTCACGTTGCTACTTATAACTATAATGTGGCTACCACTACGCAAAACCTCTCAAACAATGTGACACATTCCTCGAATAAACACCGGAGTGACTCACTTTCGAATCAGCTTTACACAAAAAAACAATAAAACTGACACCATTTTCCGCCACTGCAGGAACATGTCAGGTTATCACTGATGGCTGCGCAGAACTTGGGTATCACTGATGATCACCAGGTGGACCTGAGGTTCCCCAACGAAACAAAAATCGCTTTCTGCCCTGAAACCACGCCGAGTGGGTACGGTGTGTCACCCGGAAAATGACGTGCACTTGATAGAAGCTACGTGGATAAGCTGCTTCCAACATACATCGCTGGATATCAACAAAGCATGCTGGCAACAGCTTATCCACGCAACTTCTATCAAGTGCACGTCACTTCCGGTGACACGCCTACCCAACTTTCGGATATCGACTGTAATTTCAAAATCCCGCGACTGATCGTTCGGTTTCTGATCAATGCGATAACAGATATTACGTGGCAATACGTCATAGCCACAAATCGCGCTTCTTGTGATTGGACACCAAATAGAAGCTAAGCGGTTTGGAGAATTTTTCAATGTCTAAGGACACCATTCATATTTAGCTCAATATAGAAAAAGTGCTCGGAAAGCTGAACAGCTATAGGGCAGACTCTTAACCGTCAAAGTACTGAAAAAAAAATCAATTGTTTGGTTGCCTTCGAATAGAAGAAGGAAGGTCTCTTTTTCGGCTGCACTGGAAAAGGGAACCGTTACGGCTCATCTCTTTATCATTTAGGGGATGATGACCGAGAGAAAAAAAAACATGTCGAGAAAATGGCTATATTTTGTGGATATCACCGATTTTGATGTCGGAAAAAATGCTGCAGAAAAATGCATGTTTTAGAGAGTCCAAAAGTTGCATACTTCCGTTTGAACACAGAACACATTGCGTCTAGCTCGGGTCTCGCTGATCATCGCCATAGTCAGAAAAACAGAGCGCCACATAAAATTGATGATATCACTATTTGCCAATAAAGATTATGTGATGGAATTGTAATGGCAATTAAAGGCGCTTGTTAACTCGATAGAAAGCCGACTATGAGCCGAAATTTTTTCTAGATACTGTGATAATGCTTACATTAAACTCTTGTTCACACTGCTGACAGATTGGTTCGTCACACCGCACGAGAAAAGTGGTTGTGGGATCGAAATAAGATGACAATTGCTTCCACTCCTCGGGACTGACCGCTTGGCGAAATTCGTCGAGGTTGATGCCACCTAAATTGCGATCCTCCACTCCCGACGAGATCTTTAAAGATGCCGCACAACAATGAAGAACTTACCGTGTTCACATCGCAATTCTGAATTGAACTCGACTGCACCGGATTCGTGAGTGCTCGATCGACTGGCGGACGACGATGGGCGCTCTAATGGGGAAGATGATGGTCGCTCAGGTGGTGAAGAATCGGCACTGAAAAAGTTGTGTCATGATGAGAGAGAAGCTTCAAAGAAGAGCACTGTCTGTGACCAACCTCTGCGCCTCACATTGTTCCTGGGCTGCCTTCTCTACTTCTCCTTCTTCAAGCCTTTCACTACCGTTTTCTATTGGCCTTGGCCTTCCAATCGCTACTTGCTCAGTGTCAGTAATATCTTGGCAGACTTCTAACAAAGCAATAGAGGCTCTCGATTCGCGAACGGTCCACTTCCATCGGTTGGGCACCCGACTCCACTGAACTGACCGATGAGGAAGTTGACATCCATTTCACCTTGCATATTTGCACCGTGTCGTCCTGAAGAGATCATACTCTCATCTGGGTAATTGCAAACAATGCTCGTCAAAGGTCCTGCACTCGCAAATTTTCCAGTCAGTAAAATTCAAGCGGAACTGGTAGCCGCCTAGAAATTTGGTTAGCAGAAATTTCTCCCGAATGTGAGGACAAGCTGTGCGCAGACGGTGACAATTGTGACCGTCGGCATGCGCAGACCCGGTGTGTAGAACTTGGAAAAGATGGTGCATCATAAATTTTGACACACAAATTGACTGAATAAAAATGAACCACAGGCAAAAGCTTCTCCTCCGCCTCAGATGACGAGGGCATCATTTCGTCCTGAAGTTACAGTAGCCATTCTGTTTTGCTTAGCAGCAAATAGAAACTAATAGAAAAAACACCTACCACTACAACGCTCTTCCTGTCCTCCGTGTCAGCTTTCAGAACTCTATGCAACTGAACCAGTGTAATGAGCAGATAAGGAGATAGATGCAGTTGAAGACTTTAAACACTACGCATCTAACGTTTCTTGATACTCCTGAAGATAAATTGGAAGAGAAAAAACAAAAATACATAAAGCGGGTGGATAAACAGTTGGTGCAGAAACGAACTGGCCCGGGTGAGCAGGGTGGATTTGCTGGGCTTCTTGCTAATTCGTTAGGCAATTTCGCTCCGTTTTAGCAACAGGAAAAAGGTGAAAAATGTGGCCTCGGTTCTTTGCAACGCAAATTCTACCAGGTTAGATCTCGAAAGTTATTGTTTTTGAGAGGGGCAAGGAATCAGGATTAAATTGATGGGGTGATTCCACTCAAATGTGAAAGTAGGGATGGGAGGTGGACCGCCAGTGGAGAAAAAGAAAAGAAATCCTGAAATACACAGGAAATACGAGCATTTTGCTCCATGCTGTGGAGAAGTTCAAAAGACAGGCAGGGAGATGAGAGATAATGTGAGCGCGGAGAGTGGTAGAGAAGTCCGAGAAGAGAGAGAGAGAGCATAGCAGATCAACGTGGCGACGCAGACAAGATATCGAACGGTGGGCGGACCATGTTAAGTTTGGTGAGAGTCTTTTTAGAAGTCCACGACGCTGGGTCGTATGGGCGTTGTCGATGTTAGGAAAGTTGGCGGACTTGCCTTTGGGTACCAGCGTTCTAGCGCATGGCAGAGCGTTTACTTGTTGGGGGTTTGAGCGCGCAAGGTTTGCTTTAAGACCCTCCTGAGGTGACTGCTAATTATGTCTACCTAGTTACCAAATTATAAGTCCCCGTAAGTGAGTTCTCACAATGTCGCAAACTCTTATTGGCAGGTTACCAAGAACGCAGAAATAGTTCCAGATGAACGGAGAGTACTTAACTTGAGATAATTGGCTAAGAAATATAAAACAAAAATGGATCAGATACTAACCTCTCCTAATCCATTTGCACTGTCATCATTTTCCTCCTTCATCTCCAATGATCCCATTGTTGCTTCACAATTAGATGTATCGGCACTGGCGTCATCTTTGGCATGCTTCGATGGTGTGTGACATCCATTGCAAGAAGGCGATCCGTCTTCACTCTTTGCCATTAATCGTTTGCGTCGTGCACCTCTGCTCCGACGCGGTGAGCTTGCACTGGCAGAGTACTTACTATCCACCTTCAATTCTATCTTTCATGTGAGCAAATACTAAAACTCAGAATAAACCACGAAAGACACGATTTGCATAAAAAACCAGTTACATGATCTCGAAACGTGATTGACAGAACTGGTACAGCAGCTCTTTCGCTATAAAGAAAAAAGTTCAAATGCATACCGCTGCAAGGTCGACCACAAAGTGCAAGGTAGCTCCAGCTGATTGTAGTTTGTGCTGGTGTTCCATCTCCCGCAAAGCCAACTTCTTGAAATTGGCAAGGCACTTCTTCGATATGTACAGATAGCCTTCGGGCTTCGGCACGCGAGACAAGGAACACCTGTCCAAGAGCTGGCAGTAAGCAAAGGGCTTTCTGTGAGAAAAAGAAGCAGTCAGAATGGGGTTAGAGCGCACAACCACGAACCCAAACAACACAAACAAGCACAAAACGATCAGCAAAGGAATGTCAAGTGGAACATGAAGAAAGGATTAGTGAAAGACAATGAATTCACCTCGTTTTGTCCTTGAAAATTCGGTTTGCTAACTTGACATGACTTTCTAGGCTGTCTCGAAACTGGCCCTCTCGTCTTAATTCCTTTACGCAATCGACACAAATGTCGCATCTGAAAGTGATGCAATGCAGAAGATCAATAAAACAGTTACTATCAGGTAGTCGCAAAGGTCTTTTGCCATCACTTTAAGGATTGTTCTGAAACATTCACTTACAACGTGTGTAAAAAATGGTCAATAATCTCTTCAGATCATATTTGCCAACAGTCTCTGACTGAAATCATATTCAATTGCTCTACTTTGTAGACTCAAAAATCGCGTCGATGCGGCAAGAGACCAGTGAGATGCGATGGGGCTCTAGACTGCCTCTCACCACATGGCGTATATTTGGTAGCGAAAGAGCCACAGATCTGATCTGCTACAGTACGGAATGGAGAGGGTATTCTGAAGCTGACTGGAAAGTCTTCTGTGTAATACACGGAAACTTGCAGGGCTTTTCCCATGTTATCGACGCACAATGGCCATCCCTTTGTATCGCTTCGAAAAGAAGTAATTATGGCGGAAGAAATGTCGCGATCTGAGTGTGCACCAGCTCTGAAGGTGAAGATTTTGAATAAACATATTGATTTTGCAGCTGCCTCTTGCTTGCCACGACAACTTGCGCGGAAGCATCGTTAGATTCGGACGCGAAGAACCAAGGATTGCAATGCCAAATCCAGGACTACATTTTGGGGAGAGCTCTCAAAGTTGGTGAAGCTGAAAATTCCTCGTTTCCTGAAAGCTATTACCAACAATGTCCACTGCAACTGGTGAACAATAAAGTGCAAGTAGATGGGGTCGCCGAGGACACGCCGGCGATACATGACCAAGTCCGCTTAATCTAGACAATTTCCGTCCAGCTCCAGCCTGAGCTCCTTATGCGACGTTGTGACCCGCCTAATGTATTCAGCAGACCTACTACCATCTGATTTTGTCGCTATCAAACACCTCACAGAAAGAAGTTCGACGATCTAGATTAATTCGATACGGACACCTTCCAGTTTTTCGCCGAGCTGAAAGTTTTCAAAAAACGACTTCATCAAAATACCAAGAGAAGCAATATGCCGCGATAACGACGATGCTCATATTTGCTAATTGTTAGGTGCGCTAAAGAGAAACACAATTTATAAAAAATGAAACGTTGCCAAAGACCTTCGCCAGAACCTAATAGCTTCCCCTCTGCACCCAGAAACTGCCTACACGATATTCTGAGTGAAAAGGGTAACTGCCGGCAACTCGTAGCACTTACCCGGTCAGAAGTGGATGGAAGTTTTCAGAAGCATCAGTGTCGTACTTAATTTTTGTAGTGATGCCATACTGGGAAAGAAGGGACTCTGCAGTGACTCGAGATACGGCTTTCACATCACCGAAGAGAATCTTAAATATTAGAAGCTTTTTGAAAATTTTAAGGTACAGAACACCGGCAACATTAAACAAAAAATATTAAAAAAGGAACATACTGAATCTACGAAAAGCCGTCCGTGATGGCAAACAGACATCTCTTGAGGAGAAAGCTGGCCTGCGATCTTGTGACGCACAGTCCGTAACCTTGATGCTCGCATTGGCCTTAAAGCACTTCAGGTCAGTTTTTTAGCTAGCTCTAAGGACTTTGACTTTCATGAGGAGCTACGAACTTCAGAGGATTAGGGAAAGCACAAGGCAGGTAGAGGGTTGCCTTTTTCAGAAAGTTTAAGAACTACAGACAAGTGCCAACATGTCGAAAAGCGGGCTTACTCTACAAGGAATCGACATGTTTTCTTTTTTTCGAAAAACGACACATAATTGTCCACTGAATTACGAATGTGTGCAAAAATGATTTTATATGGAAAAATAGAGGAAAACTATGAAGGAGTACTGGAGCAGCCCGTCTCTATGGCGTTTTGAATCCAAAAGCGAATTAGACAGAAACCGACACTTTATTTTCGAGGTCAAAACACAATTTCGCGTTTTTAATGGAAGTGTAGTTTTTTTTCTAAAACCTCCACAATAAATAGTCAAAAAGCGAGAAACAGAAAAGGAAAGCTAGTAATGATCGATGATCCACGATTCATTCATCTTCAACTCATTACTACAAACGCAACGCTTAGAAAGATTAAACCCCTTAAGGTCTCCCAGTCTTTGACCAGTAGTGATTCCACTGAGCAGACTAAAAAAAGAATAGCCGAATTTCAAGAAAAAAAAAACGATATCAGATCATTGATATTAGACATACCTCGGTTTTCTCATCGGTTGAAGCCATAGAAGCATACTCTTTCTCAAGGATGTCACTTAACATCTTCGTCGGCAGAAACGCTACGTCTTTAGGTGTTTTATACCTATCAGCATTAGTCTGAAATTCACAAATACTAAATTTTAGGAAGCACAGAAGGATTATGAACGACCAGGTAAAGTCGGAATGATAACCGTACCTCGAGCGCCTCAAGAGAGAGCTTAGCTGGGTATATCGTAACGTCAGATCGTTCAAACGTTTCTCAGTGTTTCGCCATGGTCTCTTTTGTTTGCCCATCGAACTTGTGCTCAGTCTTAATGATACGGTAATAATCTCGATTATCTCTATTTGGACAACTGTTTAAGTATGAAAAATAATGGGAATCTAACGACAGCAAATGCGCACAGGAAATTCAGTTCAGGAAGTGCATCATCATTATAATCGATTGCAACACTATCTACGATTAAGTTTTGGGAGAGATTAATGCACAAGGCTTAGAACTATCACCGCTGTGAATACTTGAAAAAGCAGGCCGACGTAATGTCACCATCGCAGAAGAACAAAATACCTGAGAATATGTGAGAATATTCTGTAGGTAAAAATGAAAAGAAAATCGTAGAACTCACCGCAACAATCCATGTTTCCGTGATATCATCAGGTGGCATAATTATCTCTGGGATGGCTGGTTCTTTTCTTCGGTAGGCAAGTCCATAGCATGCCTTCATATCAGGAGTAGGGCGTCCGCCTGGTATAGATTTACTTCGATCGAACGCCTGGTGGTCGAGCGAGCGGTTCTACGTGCTGGAAAGAAAACGAATCGTAATAACTTCGTATGACGTCAGCCAACAAATACAATAGAATGACCTGTCAGCATGGGTAAAATAAATTTCTCTCCGAGGATGAATGAAAAAAGAGGACCCTATAGGGTAAGAGAGGTAGTCACCAGGACAGTGAGCAACAATTAATGCGGTGCTCGTATAACTTCGTATAATGTATAGGGATCAGATAACATGGGCAAGAAAATACAAAGGAGTTTATATGAGATTAAAATAAAGAGAAATAACAATCTGCCAACGATGGAAGAAATCCACACAGAACGAAATCTGTGATATTTGGTAACACGAAAAAAGTGGTTGTATAGCCTACCAATACTAGCCGGCGTAACATCGTACAATCCAGCTTTAGCAAAACGCTGCGCCATTCATGTGCGAATTGAGCTAACCCATTTAAATGTGAAAAAAGAAAACATGCGCATCATCTCAAATCCTGACAACTTCCCCCATCGAGACACGATCCAGAAAGTATAGTTGAATGCTTCAGGAAGGGTAAGGATCAAGGGCTGTTTCAAAATCTTAGATGTTGAACACGATCATTAGACATGAAGGCGTTTATCACTGCAATTATTTACCTCATCATTGTACTTGTACCAGACTCCTGTGAATGGATGTCGCACAAGATCGTAATAATGGCCACAGTAGGTGTTGTCTCCCTCATGGATCATAACAGCAAAAAGTTCGTAATCAAAATCATCATCTGTAAGAGGTTAGGGCATACATGTCCACGTAAGCTTGAAGCAGAAATACCCACATTTTGAAACGTTCAAGTGGAATGATCGCGCAGATAGCTCCCGTGGATAAATGATTGGTGTCTTCAACTTACGATTTCTACCATTTCTGAAAAAATTGATATAAAGCACCAGCTAGCTAGAAGTAACTAACATTATGATACACATTGATAACGAAGCCTACTTACACATCAAACACGTATCGATTCAACTGCAACATAACAACTGGTGGCAACTTTTCTGGAAGTGTTTGTCGTTTTACGCAACCCCTTCGCTCACATTCATCACAGAGGTAATCCTCCAGGCTGAAAATTCGGAATCATGAATGCCCGGTTTAAATGGATTTAGAAATAACCTACAGCTCTTCCCCAAAATATGCATCCAACACTTCGTGAAGAGTTTTGAACCCGTCAATATTCAGTTGAAGCGCAGTAAAAGGTGAGCTTCGACTGCTTTCCTTACCACAGGTACACCAAATTCGCTGAGATGTGGATCCCTGGAGAAGTAATGATAGTAATGATCAAGCAACTCTTAAAAACCCGGCATTTGAAGACAACGCCGAGAATACAAGGAATCGAATTTGAACCATTATCAAATGTCTGGTTACGAAATACTATCGACGGTACCATAGCATGAAAAATTGCCAGATGGCATGAAATTTGTGGCGGACGTTATAAAGAAGTTGACTTACTGAGTAACGTTCGCGAATTCTTTGCCGAATTTCTTCGCCGTGTGGATGTTTTGGAAGATTTCGATCCAATGCATCGAACAGCACCAAGGAAAACTCTTGGGCGTCTTGCTGTTCATTTCCGAGCCTTAGAGCACCAGTAAAGTGACGATTATCATCGGTATCTTCCTGAATATTACAAAAACAGATTAATTGCCAATTTCAGCGAAATTCTTTGAACAGTGAAGATTACAACCATAGTTGGAGTTGGGCGAGGGCGATTGGTGTACATGTATAGGGCCCACGGTTTCAAATAAAAAGTATAATGAGATTGTAGGTAGGAGTGGGTAGGCTCAAAAACCTACAATAATCAAGTTTGGTGTCTGGATTTGGGGCCAGGTCACCGTCGCGTTCGAATCGTGTTGTGATGACGGGGGTGGGTGCGTCGCACTTGGGTTCTGGGAATATGGAGATGTAGCGCATTGCGCTTTCGCGTCATCAACAGGGCAGAGGTGCGAGTGGCAAAAAAGGTGCGGGTGTTTGTCGATTCTGGGTTGTATATATGTCTCCCCCCCCCCCAGCTCGGAGGCTATTTTTGGGGAAAAAGCGTGTTGGGTGTGGAGTTTTCGGGTTGGGGGATGGAGTGATTGGTGTGTGGAGCGGTTCGCACTGTGCCCCCTCGAGAGGGGGGGGGTCGCAAAATTCACGAAATTGTTCGAAGTCGTGGATCGGTTGACCCTGGTATTGGGGGTTAAGCAATAGTATGGGATTGGAAGTAAGGAAAGGCGACACTCTGAAATTATAGCAGTTCAAGGGATAAAGGAAGAAGCTTTGCAGTCGTATCGCCACTTTTTATTGGAGATTGCCGCCACATACGACTTTTCAACTTTACTCAGTAATTCGGATAGATGTGTCATTTTGGTAATACTATTTGGCCGAGGCAGGGTAGGCAGAATTCACCCTCAGAAAGGAATTGGCTTATAAATGCCTGGGCCGGGTGCCAGGACAGGAGTTAGATGAGGGACATTATCGGTGCGTGGGTGGCGTCAGTTAGCCCATCATTTGAGAACTAGAAAATTTGGCCCCTAAAAGTCAATAGCACGGTAATAACACGGTCTAGGATTGACGAGACACTATGAATAGAGAGATTCATAGCAGGTCTTATTAATATTTGGAATACATTATACGAAGTTATACGATAATTGGATTACAAAGCACATCTACGCAGAATTCCAAATCCTGGAAAAAATTGTTGGCGAGAACCAAAGAACGGGATCGGAAGTGCTATGTTTGCAATGGAATACGAATGCAGCATCGATTTCAGTTGAAGAGTAAGGCCCGTCAAAAAAAAGATAAATGCAGAACTGAAAGCGAAACACTGAACAACTCACAAATGGGGTGGTCTGCATAGTATAGAACAAGTGCTGCAGACTATTCATGACAGCTTCTACATCCATTGCGGGTGGAGGAGGTCCTGAAAATACGAGGATCAATACCATAAACACCAATAAAAGAGTGAATGAGCCTTCATATGATCAGAATGACCCACCGAACATAATCTGCAGAGGGTCGCCAGTCGAAAATTAATTTGCCGGAAAACTGGATCATTGTACCACACCTTAAAGAACGAATGGATACAACGATGTAAGAAAGTGAGAATGTTCAACACTAGTGACGAATAAAATACGTAAGATAAAGAGCGGCATAACTGTGGAAGAACTTTACCTGTAAAAAACTATTAACATAACAAAAATTTCCAGAGTTGGTTAGACCGCAAGGAACTTCCAATATATCCCGTCGCTTTTGGCTCTGGAAACCATAAATATAACCCTGGGAAACACTAAGATAATGGAGTAAATCGAAGTGATTCCCAAAGTTACACCAACCTCTTCAACTTTGGCCGTGTTGATTTTCTCTGCCTTGATCAACTTTTCAAATTTCTCTAATCCTAACCTCTTTATACAGTAGGGATTGTCGCGGCAATTAGTCGACCTAAAAATGTTATTCAAATCAAACATGGGTTTATAGCAGTGAATGGGTTACATATGAACTTCTACTACCTCCCCCCCCCCCTAAAAAAATCGGAAGATCGCAAACTAGACAGCTTCTAACGCTTCTAACTTCAAATGCTTCTGAGGAAAAGAATAAGTGAAAAAGATTCTAGACAATTTTTAAACCCACTTGGGATTGTGGACATCGTGCAAAAGACAACCCAGGCAATCTAATTTATGGATGATCCAAGCCTGTTCAAAAGTTATGTCATCGCTCGGAAGAGCGGCTGCCGCTTCCATCGCCTCATCTCGGAATAGTGTCTGAAAACAAAACTCAGAACAGTCGTAGTAATAGTAAATACAATACTACAACTTGAAAAATATACAATCCAAAAATGCAAGAGCACATACTTTCCGTTTATTCGTCTCTTTTCGAGACAATAATCTTGCCATAATCCGGTAAATTCGCGCGATCACAGAATGAAGCTCATCGGCAACAGCAACTGCAGCACGAGATCGCCTTTGAAATAACTTTCTAATGATTTCATTGTGACACAAGCAACCAAATCAAGACCATGTAGGCAATCGATTAGCTTGCTATGATTAAACAAAACGGAAGATTCGTTGTAGAATAGCGGAGATGAAACATGGAATTCGAGATGGCACAATATTTCGGATCGAGCAGACAGGATACGATGCTGCTCACTAATGAAACGAATTGTATTCAAAATATGTACAATCCCTCCTTCCCTTTTCTCATAAAATTTCAATGGAGTTCGTCTCAAATCATTGAATAATTCCCAATCAAGTTGCTGTAAAACGGCACCAATCACAATTAAGTTTCGTAATTCATTCTAAAACCTCTTACAATGAAATTCTGAAAGAACTCCCTTCAAATAGATAACCAGAGGAATGATTGTCACTTCCATAAAGCTAGCGTATCACGTGCACCCAATTGCGAAGTGTAAACGCTTACCAATTCTGAGTGAGAGCCTTTGGCCAGCGTCAATTTTCAACACGTCGCACAGTTTGACATTCGCTAAAACGCAGGCGGCATCATTGTTGCTAGGTGTCCTGTACGCAACACAGTGGATTATCGGTGATTTTGTGGAATTTCATGAAGCATTGAGATTGGTCCGAATCCAAAATTATTATGCGTAATAAACTAGCTACTCGTAGACTGTTTGAAATCAGCGAATACATTCTACTCGTGAGGTTTGGAATGAAAGGGGGGATAAATGGCGGCAGTGGCGGGAAAAAGCCAGAGTATTTTCGCCCAGAAACGCGAATGAGAATTCCTTTTGTTGCCTAAATGTTCGGTTCCATGACGAGTAAGTCTAAAAAAGGTGCGTTTGGACGTGTGGACCACGATAGGCGGATTATCATTGCCATACAATCAATGCTTTTGAGTGATATAACATAACCCAGGCCAAAGTAGCAAATATGGCCGCGAGATATGAAAGGTTTTCTTTAATGAAACGCGGTGCGTACTGGGTCATGTGATGATGGGCGGAGCGGTTTCGGCGTTACGGGCCTTGGGGGCGGGCCTTCACCGCGTAATCAGATCACCGTTCGCTGAAACGCCCGTCTTCGCTTCTTGTTCCCACTTTTGCAATGCTTTCCAGTGTGCATGTATACTTCTCTAGTGTGCAGCACTATCGCATCGTGCCTTTAAGGTAAAGTGGGACCAATTCCCAAGGCTAATAGATTGAAGGTGGATAGACCTGAAGACCGAGTCGATTTGTGGAGCCGGGAGTGGGAAAAGTCCAATGGGAACGGACATGTCAAAGGTTCCTCGATAGCTGGTGTCATTGGTTTTCTGGAATTGTTCGTTATTGGGTATCAGAAGGAAGTGTTGTTTGAGAAAATGTGAGTTGAGTTGGGCTTAGGTCAGGCCGAGGATGTAGAGATTTTCTCCCAACGAGTTTTTCTCAGTTGTTCTACAAAGTTTCAGAGATTAGAGGTTCAAAGGAATTTCCGAATTTCTCAGCTGTAGCTGTAATTATTTACGCACCCCTCGTACCCCCTCCCATCGGACGTATTTTGGGAGAGTCAGCTATGTTCAGATAAGATAGAAGGAGATGGACAGTATGGGAATCCAAACTGTTTCTTCAAGGATTTCTCATTTGAATTCAGGAAATGAACATTCTACTTGGAAGCAGTTGCTTTGAGAAGAATGTGAATATAATAAGAGCGAAATGGGCCTGCAGATCACCCATACCCAGTTGGTGAATGACGAGATTACAGAGAGATTTGAATAATTTCTTTTCTTTATTTCCTGGATTACGTCCTCGAATGTGTCCTTAACTGACGTTACTCCAATTGTGAAGCTCGAGCTCGCTTCACTTTTCGTTCAGAAACTGAGCCATTTATCAGTGAAGCTCTAGCTCAACAATGCTACCATGGCGATGTAGATGACAACTTACGTGAGGTACCCTAAAGCAACTCTGCTGGATGATGGCCGCGGTGTTAATATAGGACCTAGAGGGGGACTAAGAAAGAGGTCTTCAATAGGCCAAAACTCTGCTCTCAGCCCCAGAGAGCATTCGCAAGAGATTGGACCTTTAAGTGTGTCGTTAAAAGTACCTAAACTATTCTTGAAAAACTTCATTCCACTTGCAAGGAGCCCAATCACGATGTTGTTGATCTTGTTTGATTCACCAATATAGTAGCCTCTTGTATACTAGAGGTATTTTGTGCCGAGTTGAGGTACACGGCGTTTCGGTCCGCCTTATTCAAATCTTAATCGCGGCTCGCACATCTGTCTTTGTGTGAGCTACTACTAAAGCATCCAACACAGTATAAAGAGCTAATATAAAGAAAAAGTGAAGCGCCACGCCTCGGCAGATACGCGCACACCTTAAAGTTTTCGGTTCACACGGTAGAAAAGGTCTAGACGTAATAATGTGCGAGCTACCTAGGATTGGTAACAGTTGCAAAGTGATTTTCAAGGCAGTTTGAGCGGTCACTTCAACATTTGAAAGTTCCGAGTTCCTCAAGCAGCAAGGGGAAAGTTTTGCTGTTGATCAGACTTTTTGGGATGCGCCATGCATTACCTTCATTCCGAATGGTTAAGCCACAAACAGCATCACGAGTGGTAGACAGACGCGGGCATATGACCTAATCAATCACTTGGTTTTGGCAGCTCTTCATTTCGGTTGTATTTTCGGTTTTCTGCACCCTACCGCCCATACAGAATAGAACTCAACAGTTCAGCAAGGCGGAAAATCTGAAAAATCAATACAACTGCATAATTGGCATTGAGAATTCAGAGCACCGTGTGCAGTAGCCAAGCTCCCTTAGTCAGGGGTAGCATATCGGTCACGAGAGATTCCGCAACGTTTGTCGAGATTTCGCATGATTAGTTCCGTTCTCCCCCGTCGACATTCACACTCGCCGTGCGCGAGCCGTCTGTGCTCTCCGCGCGTACCTAAAGTGGAGTAATCGCTCGCACGGTTCCGTGGTATGCGCTGTCTACTCGATCCCGCAGAATTTGTATACGCATCGCTATTCTTTTGTTCTTCAAAAAATGGAGCCAGAGCCCGCAGTCGCGCTTCGCCTCCATTTTGTGAGTAAGTGCCATCATACATGTTGCTTGTTGATTGCCTAACTGAGCAGAATATTTCTCTGCGTTGCGGGTGTTTGTGTGTTGTGTTTAAGTCCTGATGGCCGGTAATTGTTGTGAAAGGCTCCGTGTTCAGATTTTGCAGGCTCGGACGGGGTTGTTTTCAGCCGCATTAGGTCATTTGTGATTCTGAGTAATTCAAACTGAGTCAAGAGGTAGACGTTGGTGAACGCAGAGCTGTAGTATACCGTTGGCGAAAACTCCAGTTGATCAATAGGACCTACGATAAATATTTCGGAGTTTATGTGGCAACGTCACAGTCCATTTAGCCCTTGTTCCTCAAGGGCTTGGTCTGTCAGGGTTTGCGAAGCTCAGCGATGCTAGTGAACTGCGAGTAGGTATGAGAGCCGACGCCGCCAGCGGTACGAGAATGCGCCAACGACTCCGCAGAGCGCTCGAATTTGTTTTTTTTTTTTGAATTTTTTTCAGCTTTCTAGCTTTTTTGGGGAGAGCTGTGCTGTTTTCTTTTTCTGTCTCTAGCCCTTCTCGTTCTTCACGATTGACTCTTGCCACTTCTCGCACGTTGACTTCTGCCGGGCTCACAAGGGCGTGCGAAAGCGGTTTGCGAACTACATGATTTTTCCTTAATGGTCCTGCCGCGAATGGCCAGAGCACAGACGAATAGAGAACGAGTGAATAGCCTGGAACTGAACCTTGGAGAAAAGAGGGACCCACGAGAGAGCGCAGGCTGCGGTTGAAGCGACGAGTCCAAGGCGATCCAAAGGACTGAGTTCAAGTAGTCCGTCGAGAGTGCGAAAGCGGCAGAAGTCAACGTGCGAAAAGTGGTGCTCTGACTACTTTCCCACTCTGCCGGTCACTGGTGCCATTGCTTGAACCGCTGACGCATAGTTCAAACCGCTGCCGCGTCGCTTGCGCCGCGCGACTTACAGGCGATTTGCTGGATTCGCAAAGTCTGACACCACTGGTTGCGCCGGTTGCGCGGATGACAAGAACACTTACAAGAAATTTTATCCGAGAAAGTCAATGCAATAAACGATTGATACTCTCTTATAAGGCCTCGATGCATAATATTAGAATTTTCAGGAAACAAATATAAATCATACGAACGTGCGACAAAACGAAAATTTCAAATTTCGCTGATGAGATCGGCGAGCAGTTGCCGGGTGTGGCGGCGGCGGCGGTGGTGGTGGTGATGGTGGAGGGAAGGGCAACGGGGCCGGGGGACGTGTGGATACGGGGATACCTACGGGTCGAGTCGTACTGCCAACAACCGCTCGCGATCTCGTTCGACTACGAGAGCAGGATACAGAAAGAAGACGAAGAAGTACAAGAATATGAAGGACTCACAACATCCTCATCAACAATACGACGACGGGTATATCTATCGAACGAGTCGGATTACTGTAACGAATATGGTTACAGTGATCTCCTAATATTATTTTAGATTCATTTAAGAAATGATTTCAAAATAAATATGAACGAGACTTCAACGCTGCTCTGCTGGAGACCATGCAGGTTGTCATCGGGCGGGGAGGTCGGCTGGTCTCGGCAGAACAGCGCCGTGGAAACAATGAAGAATAACATGTGATGTGCAGTACAGAGAATGAGCGAATGGATCGAATGTCCCGACAGATTCGAGGTTTCTGATCGAGTAACTCTCAGGCAACCTCAGGACTGAGTTGGATGTGGGCATTGTGAGGGGAACGTCGAAGAACCAAGGTGGGGGTCGTTGTTCAACGACGGCTGTGACGGCTCAAAAAGGGTCCTGAGCCCCTGGGGTCGTGGTTGTCTCCACCATGAGAATCGCGTTAACCTACACAGACACACGTATACACGCTGACTGATTGACAGCGTGTGAATAAATAACCGAATTGGATAAGGAGGGGGGGGGCGAGAACCGATGGGGAGGTGACGGGAGGTAGTCCTCGCGCGATGGGCAATCATCACACACGAAATGAAACGAAACGAAACACGGGGCGCCGTCTGGATTCTCAACAACTCCAGGGGCAGAGCGGTGTGGGAATGTGTACACCTCGACTAGAGATAGAATGCATACGAACGTAGACAGATACAATGGAGCAAACAAAAGTGAGTGGGAATGACATGGTAAGGAGCGGCGAGCATCTCCCTGAAAGAGGCGGCGGCGGCGGGGGCCACGACGATCCGACGACGACGTCGTCGACGGCTGAGCAACGCAAAATGCAGCTCTTTCCTTCCTTCGGATCGACGGCGGCGACGCACGGTGAACGCAGCAGCACCTGTAGACACACCATGGCAGCACATTAAGGTAACCTAACGACGTCTCCTATCGTAAGTGAGCAGATTGTAGAAGAGAAAAAGTAGTGTGAGGTTAGCAGCTGCGAGGAAGATCGGAACCTTCCAGCGAACCAGCCACGCCTAAAACGAAATACGGTATGCAGTGGAAAATCAAGAGTCTAGGCACTCAACAGACGCACCTTGAAGGCAGGATGAAACAGGTATCGAAGTGGATTTGCCCTAAGAAGAGCTTGGTCCTCTTGATCGCGTAGCATCTCCTGACGACGTTGCGATGCCAGACGAGCCGCATCCTCTCGGCGGAGGCGAACCTAAAATGGCGAATGCTTAGGAGAGGAATTCCGTACGGTGAAAATGGAGTTGGAGGGGGGCATTCCGACCTCCTTTGTGGCCCTAACGATAAGGATCAAGATAAGGCTAGGGATTTATCTAGCGGTAATGCAGCGTTCAGAGTTGGCGATCGTAGGTGCGATTAGGCGATTAGGTGATTGAGCGGTGATTCAAAAAGAAAATTATACGTATCGATCAGGCGATTAGAGTAGTCGTAAGGGAAGGATACGTATCGATCTGTTGCTCCGCCCATCGAGCGATCGCCTAATCGCCTAATCGCACGTACGATCGCTAACTCTGAACGCTCAAGCTAAGAAAATCCTTCGATAGCCTGCTTCATTAGAATACCTTTTGATTAGAGCAGGTGAAACGCCCTACTCATCAACACCCAATCAATTTTTTATCCATTCAGCGCTCCACTCACCGTGGAGCTCCTCGCTCCACCCACTCTCTCCCCCTGGAGCGAGGGCAAAAATATTCGGTTCTTTGCTCAGGATCGCTTCTTCACGCCATTTCAGGCTGATTCAGCCAGTCCCTATAGAAAACCTTTCTTTGGACGGAAAGTGCTATCGCCGGTAGCATCTCCCTTACCTTAATCCTCATCATTGAACCTGCAGAACAGAATGGAGTGGCCCTCTCCAGCTCCATTTTCACCAAACCGTACAAAAATCACCGGCAAATGATTGAATACTCCCCGCCGCTCTCTGAGTTCGCCAATCGGGCAGACTACCCGGTCTCGTTTGAAATCTTGCACGGTTTCTGCTGCTCGCGATCACGCGCTCAAAGCCAAGTTTGAAGCGACGATTCCACCCTGAGAAGCATATTGCTTTAAGGAACAGAATGATATTCTTAGGCTGAGGCATCATGCTAATAATATAAAGAAGGTGCTCAGTACTTGGAATTTCGCCTAATCCAACAACGCCAAGAAAAGATTAGGGACTATTTACAAATACGGGAGCAACCATCAGACTAACAACTAAGTAGGAGAAGTCGGAAACTTCAAGAAAAAAATCTCTTCCGAGCCGCTGGAAGTTTCCTCGCCCGTCTAAGGTTCAGCCCCAATCGTCCGCATATCGAATGTTTTACACGACTTTGAATGAATATCCATCACAATGCCTCGTTTTTGCGTAGCGCCCTATATTCCATTCTTGAACCCACCAAAATGTCGGTGTAAAGTGGTGTGGAAAGTAAGAGTAAGAAGAATTCTCAAGGTTACTAGTAATTGATGAATGTATCCAAAATTTCGTTTCTTTTCCAATAAGTTTTTTCTCTTTTACTGCCACTATCCTAATACGACCCATGTCACGCAAATATCTACCAAAACACCAAATACGCGTCTCTCACAACTGGTCGAAAGCAGTTGCTTCCTTGCAATTTCGAAGAACTCACTGAAGTGGCGTCGTTCACGTCGCTCTGCCGCATCAATGATGGGCGATTTCGACGAAGTCTTGGCTGTCCACTCGTACCAGCCATCACATACTGATCGAAGTGATCATCGCTAAATCGAGTGCATGAGCTCGAGGAAAATTTAGTGTAATTTAGGCGCTAAATGGCTAGACTGTGTCGCTCAGTCGAGGCAAACATTAAGAAACAGAAGTTCATAATAGAGGAGTCGGGCGAACTGACGAAAACATCTGCTGACTCTGCGGATTGTTGCCAGGTTTGATGAGGTGAGGACTCGTTACTTTGCGGTGTTGTTCTGCTGTTCTGCCACTCGCCACATCCTGAGGTGAGTGGCTGCCCTGCTACGTCCGAAATAGACTCTTATACATAAGTGATCCACAAACTCTGTCTGAATCCTTTTAGGCTTTAATTGGGGCAGAAATAATCATCACTTTTCTGCAGTGATAAAACTAATAAAATACACACAACTTCACACCGTGACATGTACGAGAATCCTAAAGGACGACCTCCTCTAAAAATCGCAAATACGACCCACCCTGTGCGAGTAGAGTAACATGGACGTTGACCTGGTCGTGAGCCCCAGAGTAGTGCCCTCCGCTACAAAAGCGACACGCCTCGATCCTTTATGGTCATAGGCATACTTCCACCTCTTGAAAACCGAACTTATCGTACCACTTGCCTTTGAGCCTAGCAATACTCCTAACAAATAATATATAACAAACAACACATGGCGGTAGACTTGGGAACGAGAATGTGAGTGAGAAACTGTTTATATGAGAAAAAAACTCGAACTCGTTTTTTAAACGGGTGCCCGGATCAACGATAATTTTTGATGTTCATGAAATAGACTGGATGAATAAAGCGTCACTAGAAGGGGGTGGAATTTGCACATCAACGGACATAAAGAGTGAGTCTGGGATGCATAGACTGTGGAAAAAAAAAACTTAGCAACAAGGTGGAGTAAAGTGAAAACCCCAGATGAGGATAGAGTAGCTCACGAGAGTCAACAGATAAACCGTTGTCGATTTCGAATGTGCGCGACAATGGCGCTATGCCCTTACAAAAAGGTCTGATGGCGACTGATGTAAACTTATGGACGAGATACCTCGAGCACACCTCATGCCCAGTGGTTTACAGCTAGTGGTAACCCAAATACGCACGGAGACGGGGCATTCGGCCAGAACTAAGCCGCGATGGCACTTTGAGTAAATGAGAATTGCTACGCACAAAATCTTCCCCCCCTCTAAGGTCAAATCCTCACATGTTAAAATAGAAGATGTTTGAAGCGGTCAAATGTATTGCCACCACAACACCTCCGTAACTTGCAATAGACCTCCATCAATTTTATGAATTCGCTCTCTCTTTGCGATCCACTTCCTTAGCCAAATCACAACAGAAAACGAGGAAAATAATTTAAGCGAGTCAAAAATCAAGCAAAAATATTGGCATTACCTCAAACTGCACAGGTGCTGTGGTAGTTCTCAGGCATCATATCCTCCTGTTGCTGTTTGTTGTTGTTGTTGCTGCTGCTGCTGTTGCATGACCATTTGTGGTCCGGGTTGTAAATTGAAGCTGAAATACCAGGTATAAGGCCTGAAACCTGAATCAACGTAAATCTGAGCAGGCTTACTTCACATGATTGACCATATAGGCAGACTGTTGTGAGCCATAGCCAGACTGTTGTGAGCCGTAGGCAGTTTGTTGTGAGCCGATGTGGTTCCCCATGTGAGGGGACAACTGACTGGGCGGAGGAATGACCAACTGTGATTGGGGACCTGGTCCCATTGGTGTCAAATATGACGCATCAGCAATGTCAACCGAGAGGTTCTAAAAATATTAGCAAAAATACTTCCAAAAATATCAGCAAACATACTATGTGGGGAAGACCTTTAGGGTCGGTAAATCTTCGCGCACCTGTTCGAACGAGGCATGTTTGCTGTGCGTTTGACGCGAATAGGACGAATGCGGATCGGAGATGTCTGTACCGAACGATTCACCACCAGGATTCTCGCCGTAGTGACGACGGCGTTCGTGACCTGAACAAGTGTTTAAGGTGATTCGCTTGGAAAAAGCTGGACCTTTTATGGTAAAACGAGACCCGAACACATTCCACGTGAGGGAAAAATTTATAAAAAAAATGGGGTTCGAAAATGAAATTCTGGATGCCAACTGATTTGTCAGTAGAGAAAAATGATAAAGAAACCACCGGAACGCAGTGAATAGAGCCCTTCTTTTTTGGAAAGTAGGAGAATCTGATAGGTATGTCCACAGCTACAGATTTTAGACCTCCAGCGCCCTTTCCACGCGCATCTTGTGTCCCGGAAGTGGCCTTATCTCTGTGATTGAAACTTAGCAACCTTACTCGCGGGAGGGATTGATGAACTGACACAATCGCGCAATGTGACTTTAAGTACCTTTGAGTGACTTTTTTGAGAAAAACTTTCACTCACATATTTCGTTCTTTTGAAGGTATAAAGGATAAAGGATAAAGCATTTGCCGTTGATCAATCCCTTTTTGGGATGCGGCACGCATTCTATAATACTCCATTTGTACATTCGTAGTGGCGT